GCAGTTCGAAAAGAAATTTTCTGACAAAAGCTCATTCTGCCACTTCTGCACACACAAAGCAAACGGTCATTTCTATAGAATCTTCCTTCTCAACCAACTGCAGTTAATAATCACAAATTCCTGTTGCTAAATCATCAGCTCTGAGCAAACTGTCCGACTAATCTGGTTTAGACCAATGCTGCATCCAAGCCATAAAGTATTATAAGTTTTTGAGTTCATAGTTTTATAAGTAATGATCGAGCTCATCAAAATGTCTACCATCAAATATCTATTAATTTTGATGAAAAGCTAATCTACTTCAACTCCTAAGCTTTTAATTCTGGAAATCCTAATATGCAAACACAAGACCCGCACTTTCTCACTTCTGCTAATGAATAGAAACGTCTTTTGCACAGATTTGTTGCTGCTTTTGAAACATTTTTCAAACATTAATGTAGACAAGTAAATTTTTCTGGGTTTTTTAGCTTGATCTCACGCAAAACTTGCCAAAATCCTAAAAGATACACTAGTGTTTACAAGGAAAGGATACTTGGCCGAAGTGGCATTTCCATATGAAATGTATACAGTCTCATAGGACATGGAACGCTGATCCCAAATCTGTTTATTTTTCTACAAAGCGCTTCTGCGTGGGAACTATAAGTATTTTTTGAGGTAAAGTTGATATTTGGCTAAAGTTGACGAAAATAACCCATGACCCCTGCTCCGCCCAATTTGTGTGCAAAGTTTAGTTCAGGGGTATGTATCAGTCTTCCGTTCGGGTATGTGTTGCCGTACAGGAGCGATATTATCTCCCGCTCCCTGTTCGAGCCATTATTAACGAGTTCCCGAACAGGAGCTCCCGTACCCGACATGGCCAAACTTGCCAGATCGGACCATACTCTAACGTAGGGAACGGAAACGCCTTCCCATATAGGAGATTGATAAATACCGCTTTAGGTCTTGTCTACTCATGCGCAGGCGCCCATATCCATGATGCGCGAACGAGACCGCCGTGATCCGTACAAGGGTCGGTCAGCAGAATGAGTAAGTCTGCAACGCCTGGTCACCTACCCTCGCTTGTCTATAAAATGTGATTCAGGGCTTCAGATTCATTCCTAGAGTGGAGTGATCGGGCTCTGAAACTTTCGTAAATGATAGTCAAATTAAATCAAATCTCAAATCCCATAAACCATCTGCAACATAAGATCAAACCTTACTCGTTTAATAATGAATAAACCATTCGATTTGCAAGCGTTTTGAAGACAACGTCCAGGCAAATTTGGACATATGGGGCTCTCGCGTGGACAGCAATTTTGGGACTC